CCCCCACCCCCAGAACGGTTTCCCTTGCTGCAAATAGCCAGGGAGGCAAGGCAAAGGGGGCTGTCCTAGTTCCCTCACACAACCTCCTATACAACCCAGGCCAAATTGGGAAAACTCTCCTGCAACAGCCAATGCTGCCCCAACCCCCAACCCCCAAGTTTCTGACATGGCTGTTGGCACCCTGCATACCAACTCTGGGCAGGGACAGTAAATATGACTTTGACGCACTGAATTTGCTAGAAGTAATTTTATTATCAAGGGGACACGGGGCAAGCTGTTGGCACGTCTCCCCGGGGAACACTGCTGGCTCCTCCACACCGTCTGCCTCCCTGCTATAACTCTCCACCACATGGATTATGTGGAACCTGCCTATGGGCCTCCTCAAACCACAGGCAACCAGAGAGGGGCATGCCTGAGGCAGTCTGCCACAGATTACCACCCCAAAACGTGCCTCAGTGCCGAAATGGCCAGTTTTGTGTTGGCAGAAATATAGTTTATTTATTTGTTTGCTTGTCTGGCATACTGATAAGCCACTCCAGTCAATTAGGACTCTGGGCATCAAACAACACAACCAGTATACACAAGGAAAACCATAATATATAGTCCACACAACTGAAATTGAAATATGGAAGAGGCCAAGTGCTCCCTAGTTTTAACTTGAGCACAGTTTTAACATGCTTAAATACAAGGGAGGAAGGGGCCATCCTGACTTCAGGGGTTCCAAGGAGTACAGGCCACCCCTGGAAGGCCTATCACCTGGCCCCCACCCTACAAACCTGGCAGAGCGTGGGGATCCTCAACAGTCCTTCTCTAGGTGTTCATACTGGCCAGACAGATTCTGTCTTGGCAAGGAACTGACTGGTATACCTGGGTGCAGCCCCACAAAGGGCTTTTAAAGTGATCGCTCACACTTTGCATTGGGTCCAGAAGCCAGCCAGCAGCAGGAACTGTGGGATGGGTGTAATTCAGCTCTGATAGAGTTGTCCTGCGAGGAGCCTTGCTGCTGCCGTTTGAAGCAGTTGTACCTTCTCAGTCATCTCCAAAGGCAGCCCCACACAGAGTGCATTACAGTAGTCTAACTGTGTGGTGATCAGGGCACGAGTCATCATCACCAGAGCTAATTTCATCCCATCCAGATCCTGACCGCCTCCAGGCACCAATTCAGGACTTCCAATGGTCCATCTTGGGCAACAGGACAGCAAGAATGGTTCCATGCAGAGCTTACACCAGCCTTCTTCCACGAAGAGGTTCTGCGGTTGTGTTGGGCCACAACTCCCCACCGGCATGGGAGTCGTAATCCCAGCCCTCTGGAGGGCACCAGGACGGAAAAAGACTGGTTTGTACCAACGCCGAGATTCAGGTCGAGAGTCGATGGTGAGGAGATTTGGTTCTTATTTTCCCGAAGCCTTCTCTCCCCAAACCTTCGCCATAGATGTACGAAGCACTCAGCTGCTCCGCAAGAAGGCGAAAAGAACGGAGGGCGGACGGAAATCCGCGAGGGGGACGCTTTTATACCACGCGTCACCAGCAGAGGGCGCTGATGCTATTGCGGTGAGTGCTCCTCCCTCCCTATATAGGCGGCCGAGGGAGGAGGTGGTGTCTGAGCGCAGGTGTTGCGCGCGCGTTGCAGACAGTCCGTGCGTGCAGAGCTCATGCTGGCGGTGGCCATGAAGGAGACGTGCGGGTAAGGGGGGGCGGAGGCTCGTCTCGCCTTGTTACGTCACCAAAGGGCAGGCTGGGAGTGGGACACTGGGCGCTTCTTCGCTTGAGGAAAGTGGGGTGGACCTGTGTGACCCGCTGCGGTCGCTGCTGACGCTGGCTCCCCTTCCCACACAGCTCAGAATTTCCATTGCCTTTGGGGAGCTGCTAATTCTCTTGGGCGCTTTGGATAAATGTGACCGCTAGAAGCAAAACCGTAAAAACTCGTGACATGTTCCTTGGGGGATAGAAAGTCAGTGTGTGCGCTCCGGATGTGTTGGATGGCAGCCCCCCATCATCCCCAGTGCGCATGGAAACTTGTTTGGGGAGGTTGGTGGATTAATGGCTTGAGTACACCATCAGTTGGCAGGGCTAATACACACACCCACACACAGGCGAAAGGGGGGAGAGAAGGTATTTTGCATTTCGTTTTCCTTTGAGATCCCTGCGATTTATCCTCTCCTCCCCATTGCTCTGTGTATGAAACCATGTGTACGCACTTGTACACTCAAGCTAATGCTTATGTCTCCCGTGCAGTAGATGTTAGTCCATTAAAATTATGCTACGGCATAGTAAGTTAGTAAAACTTTCAAGATACTGAAAATTGTTTCTGCGTTTATTTTAATGGAGAGAAATAGTTGCCCAAGTTGTCTGAAATACTGTTTTATATATACGAAGGGTGAGAGTGTATGTACCCTTTTGTGCTGTTCCCAAATGCCTGTGTAGGCAGCTTGCATCACTGTTTTTCCCTGCAGTTGTTGAGCATGCTTATTTTACACAAGCAGAAAATGAGGTGGTAGGTCCTGAAGAGGTAGACTGTATCATTTCTGCCAAGGTATGCCATTTTTGAAAGCCCATTTTTTCAGAGGTCCCTAATATATGGCAGATGAACGAGCACATTCCAACCTGTCTTATTGATTCCAAGTTTAATTCCGGTTACATAGTGAGGCCTCTTGAGTAGAGAGAGTGGACCTGTTTGCTATCTGGAATGTTATGGTTCATCCTATTCTCCATTATTATAATCATAATTAACATAATTCATTATGTTCATTTATCCCCCTCTAAGGCTGTTTGCTTGCTTCTCTGGTAGCAAAGTGACCATGGTCAAGCATTAGATTTCCTGGAGGACCGTGTTAAGAATAGAAGGCAAAAAGGGCAGCCAAGGAGACAACTCCCTGTTCAACTGTAGGATGACTGTTTTACCTGCTAAATTAGCAACTAAAAGACCAGGTGATATCTGTCCGAGGACCCAACACACTGCATGGCAAAAGTCTGTGAATGTGTTGACTTTTGTACCCTTTGTAGTTACAGTGGGGCAAAAAAGTATTTAGTCAGCCACCAATTGTGCAAGTTCTCCCACTTAAAAAGATGAGAGGGGCCTGTAATT